TAGGTGCATTATGAATATTAAATTCTTGCAAACAAAGCCCTGAATTAGATGATTTGTGTGCTCTGTGTACATAGCTTTCTCTGCTTGGAGAATACAGCGAGCAATATATTTTTCCCCTTCCGTTCTCCTTCATTCTGTGTGTGCCTAGGCTAAGAGGAGGAGCAGCCATGCAGGGAGCAGCATGGGGAAGGAGGTGGGAAATGCAATCACTTGGGAGGAACTTACATCGTCCGCTGCTTTGGGCAGCCATGGAGTGTGGGTTGCATGGGATGGATGCCCACAGTGAATGAAATGGCAGCAGTATGCCACCGTGTCCTCTTCTGATTGCTCTGCCTCTGCCTCCTCCTTCCTACCAGGGCTGCTGCTGTGCGAAACTGGTGAATAATGCCAGGATTAGACAGCTTGTTTTTGTCTTCTTTTGCCTCCAACTCCGTAGGGTTTGTCGAAGGGAGCTGGGAGCTGGGGCCCCAGCCTGGTGAGCCTGCCATTGCTCATCTCTTGTCTCCTGTCTGGATGACTGGCTCTTTACATTTTTAATGGTATTTTGTATTGTTTTTCTTGTACTGCTCCTGGATATTTTGCAACATGCATCTTTGTGGTTGGATGCAATGAATCAATAGCGAATAATAATCTAAGTCTAGGGGGAACAGAGTTTGCAAAGCAGCACACCATTCACACTTGCTGGAAGTGCAATGAGAAATCACCAGGGTAAGAGAAAACGACCTGGGAGAAGGACAAGGAGCAAATCCAATCTTTGAAAATGAAAATAGATTTTTTTTTAAGTGCTGTGTAAAATTATACCTTTAATTCTTTTTCCTTTTAGCATCAGAACTTACCGTAGCTTGTGCCTTAGCAAGCCCCTTGCTGCTCCTGCTGGCCGGCTCTCAGGAGCTGGGTTGTTTTAAGTACTTCTTTTTCCTAGTGCTGCTAGTTTTCCATCTTGGATGTGGGAGGCTGGACTCCGCCTCTGAGCCATGCCAAGCCCTGCAGAGGGGATGGCATCCCCAGCCCACACTGCCCCAGCTCACTCCCAGAGCTGTGCCACTACCAGCCCAGGAGGGACAGAGCTGCCTTGCCCTGCTGAATGCACCCAGAACAGAGAACATCCATTACAGGGGCTTCAGCCAACGTCCACATTATGCCTGCTTTCTCCTGCTGCCCACTCTCCAGCCAGTACGAATTGTCTCAATCTATCACAATTACGAAGGCACTTGAGCTAAATAACTTCGTAAAGATCCACGGGGAAAATTCATTGGTTTCAGACTTTCAAAATGGATTTTACTTACGCTGTCCAGAGAGTCATAAAGAAGGGGTGAGCAGGGCCGTGTCCAGCCCCTTGTGGCCGAGCAGCCACCTACCAGAGCTGCAAAAACCTGCAGGTGCTCTTGACGAGTCATTGCGTGGCACATGGGTCATGGAGGGCTGGAGGGGGATGGCCAGCCCCACTGCTGCCGACAGGAGGTGGGTAGGAGGGAGAGGAGGGAGTTTGTGTTTTAGGGGAGGTCGCTGGCAGTGTGAGCAGGATTTTCCAACACCCTGATGTCTGAACTGCCCGTGCCCCTTTATGAGGACTTGTGTTAGCATCGGAGGACATGGCGGAGATAGGATCAGGTTACAGCAGCATAACAAATTACCTCCTGTCAGCTGAACCGTGATAGCTGAGTATGGATGTGCTCTTACTCTGTGATCTTTCACTGACATTTAAACTAAGCTGTTTTAAGGATTTAAGAGCAATCATAACGGGTCAGGGCAAAGGTCCACCCAGCCTGTTCCACAGTTCCAGGGAGGGGCCTCTGGCCCAACCTTGGGAACAGCGTAGGAGGCGAAGCCACCCCAGGACTCCCCAAGCACTGTCCACCCCCGGACATCGTGGTGGGGCTGGGGCAGGGTGGGCAGCCTCAGTCCATGTGGGAACAGCCTTCTGCTCACTTCCTTTCTGCTCTTGGACTCAAGCAAATTGTTATCATCTGCAGAATCCTGCACAAGAAATTCCAAAGCTTAACCCCGTGTTGGGCTTTGTGAAATTTTCTGGTTCCATTTGCTTGTTCTACGGATCATTTCTACGCATGTGACAGCTGATCTGCTCCCGCATCCCAGCCCTCATAGCAGGGCTCAGTGGGGGCTGAAGCTTCTGAACCCCACAGCATTTTGGTACCTAAATCCTGTGGGTCTCAAGGGGGCTTTATGTGCTGTGCCACGGACAGTGAGCACCCAGTGAATGCAACACGGTGCCCATCTGGGTGTAGCAATGCGGTGCAGGGAGTGGGCTGCGGGGCACTCAGCCAGAGTGGCACAGATAGGGGATAATCAGTTGTAAAAAATATCCAAGCAGTAGCAGATGAATAAATCATGTTTTTTTAGTACTGGCTTAGGGAATGTCCCTGGGACGCCTGCGACTCGCCATTCTCTGGAAGGCTCTCTGTAGGCTCTGCTGGGGATAGCGTGTTCCAAGTACTCAATGCCAATTTGGCTGCCTTTGTTCGTTCCAGTTTCCCTGTGTTAACTGCCTCTGTGCCGAGCGGGGGATCCAACACCAACTGGGTGCTGCTCTTGGCTGGTAGCTAAGCTCCATGACTTGTGGGACTGGTGCTCTGGCCCTGCCGGGAACACTTCCTTCTCTTTCTCGTTTAAACACCACAATCTTTGTTTAGCTACTGCATGCAAATCCATAAATATCGCAATTTTGATCGCCTCTCCAGCAGTTTAAAGAATTATATCTGGATTGTTTTTAGCCCAGATCATTTCCTTGATCGTATTTCCAGGCTGTGCCCACCATGAGGTGTGGGCAGGTGTGGTGAGGCACACAGTGGTCCGCTGTCGTGGGGCAAAGAGCTGCTGAATGGCCATGCCCATAGGTGCACCGCATGTCTCACCATCTCTCTGCACTTGTAGTAGTTAGAAAGAAGCTGTGATTTGCCATCAGCTGCTTTGTTTCCTTCTCAGATCAACTGTAGGACTGGGGGCATGTTGTGCAGCTCCACATGCTGCAGCTGTGCACACCCTTCACCTCCAGCACAAGGCCCCCAGCCTAAGGAGGAGCATTATCTCCCCTTCTTCAAAGGCAGAACCTGCAGCACAGAAACCCCTTGCTCCTTTCAGTGGGAGATTTAGCTAATGCTCTCTCCAATCCATTTTGCTTCCCCGCAGCTTAGTGTGGATTTCCATCCCCATCTCATCAGCCCACTTAGGACGTGCAGCCCTCTGCCAGCCTGCAGCCATTCTGACCTCTGAGCTGCCTGGCAGGGCTGGGATGCACTTTGCAATGTGCACTGGAGGAATTGCACCCTGCAGCCAGGCTCTGGGGGGCTTTTGCAGGAAAAGTGGATCTGAAAGCATTAAGATTTCTGCATTCAGCTGTGCAGCTACTCCTCCTACAGCTCTGTGAGGTGCAGGACCATCTTGGGCAGCCCACAGCTCCCAGCTGGGATGGGAAGCATCCCAACCTGAATCCACCCATGGGTGCACAAGGCACTATGCAGTCACCACGCTCAGAGTCAGGAGAGGGAATTTAAAACTACACCATCTTATTATGGCATATATAGGCTCTGATAACCCTGCTGGTCCCTCCCTTGTGTATGTGCACGCTGCAGGGCTCTGCATGGGAGCCCAGGAGGTGGTGCAGCGCGGCAGCACCAGCTGCGCCAGCGGTCCGGGCGATGGCTCTCGGGCTGGTGAGGCTTCCCTGGTGGTGAAGCAGGAGGTCTGGATTCATCAGTCATGTCACATTACATTATGTGATGCAACGCAACACGGCATGACTGATGCAACCCAACGTTAAATGTCATAGAGCAATGGATCAGCTCAAGGCTACGGTAATTTTATGTGCCCATTTAATCTGGTATTTAAAAACAAACACTCATAGCAATCTGCATCACACGCTACATTTTGCAAAATTGAGCAGCAAATCTGTACCAAGCAAATTATATAATTCTGTCATCTCTCAGCCTTGTGTAAATACCGCAGTCAGGTTTACAATCAGTGCTTTCCTCCCTTTCCAGCCCAAGACTCATGGAGCTGCTTTAGGACCCCTGCTCCCTGCGGTCTCCCTGTGCACCGTGCTGCAGGCAAAGCCCGACTGTGGCTGTTGGAACAGCACGGTGGTTTGAAAGGGAAAATCCCCTTTTGTTGTTCTTCTTCCCTGGCTCTGCTTGGAAGAAGAAAAAAAAATCACTTAAGCACTTGCTTACTGTGGCCCAAATTAGGGTAGTGGTTCAACATGAGATGAATTTTAAGCAGTGCCATAAGGGCAGGCCTGGGATGCCTTCCCAAATCAGAGCAGCGCAGACCTCTCCAGAGCAGGGACCATTCCTCCTTTTAATGGCTGGAACAACAATAACGGTAATTAATGCTTCCCAAGCCTCTCATAACTCCGCTGAGTTTTACGGTTCGAAAGAAGTGCTTCAGTCCTGTGGCCTCCTCAGGCTCCTCTCCATATCTGTGTGCTGTGCAGTGTCTGGCCGGGAGGGCACAGAGCTCTGCCTTGCAGAAGAAGAAAAAGTAAATCGAACTGAATGGAAGGAGCAGAGGGCAGAAAGCACCGCCGGGAATTTCCCTATGGAGTGGCTCCCATCATCCATGCACTGAGGCTCCTACTGGAGCATCTCTGCGGGGGATGCAGAATAGGTGCCCCCTGCCAGCACCCTGTGTGGAGCGGTGATGCTGCACGGGGCCAGGAGCAGGGCAGGGTCTGGCTGCAGGGCTCATAGCTCACCCCACAGCACTGTCGCTCCCGGTGCTGCAAACAGGAACGGGATCAGGCCCCAGGTGGGAGCTTGATTGGAGCCACAGAGCCAGCTCCCACTGCTGATGGTTCTCACGGTTTTGGTGCATGCCGTGCTTTGCAGGGCTCACATGGCTGTGTTTGCAAAGCAGGGTCGTGTCAGAACATCCCCTTTCTGACCCGAAAGGCTCTGTTGTGGCCTGACCAGGGAGGAGACAGGGCAGAGCATGAACTTTCCCATCAAAACGCCTTCTCTCAGCCTTGCAGCAGAACAAGGGAACTGCAGGGCTCTGCACCAGGCCCGGTGGGTGCAGGTGCTGCTTTGCACATCAGCCGCTCAGCTGGGAGGCTGCGTTTGTGCACACCGCTGTTGTCGAGCAGACCTCTGTGTTTTGCAGCATTTGCTAATATTGCTTCATTCAGGCTGGATTTTTCCTTGAATTTCCGGAGCTCGCTGGCAGGTAGGGCTGTGAACAGGATGGGAACGAGCTGTTTGGGAGCTGGCAGCGCTGCAACGCAGTGGCTGCAGGGTGTGTGCTCAGCGCTCCAACCCCAGGGCTGGGGAGGTGGGTGAGGACAGGTGGATGCTTGCAGCCTCGGAAGTCTGCTTTTACATTTTGGATCAGAAACATGAGATGAAAAATTCATATTTCAGTTCAGATCTTATTTTTGGCTCAAGATCAGAAAAAAAACGTTAAGTGGGGAATCTAATGTGCATTTATATTTGCGTAACTCGCTAGCAGTGGAACTGCTTTGTGTCTTATACAGCTCATGCCAAAGTGAAGGATTTGCTCTTTCATTTTCAGCCTGGGGTGAAATTTTACAGTTGAGATTATAGGATCCTGAAAATAATTGTTGCCCCAACCTTAACTCTTACATTATAAATGAGGATGCATCATACTCAGCGTGACTGGGAATTACAGAAATTAAGGATGAAAAAGGCCTCATCTTCCAGCCGGTGTAGGATTGTTTGGTACAGTGTGGCTGATTTTTTTAAACTATTCTCTCCCTGGTGGGTGATGGTTGTTTTACAGAGCAGTGCCACTAATGAATGTCTCCCTTTGAAACAAGGCAGAATCCTCACGCTGTTGTCTCCAAAAAGGAGAAAAGGAAATATTTTACCCCACCATGATATTTTTCTGGCCCAGGCTAAGGGATTTAAGGCTAACTCGGGTTTGCGTTTCAGGGGGTGCATGGGCTGTCAGCCAGCAGTGTGCTATGGCTCTGGGGCTGCAGAGTGGGGTGTCCCCATTGGGCCCCAGGACAGCACTCTCCCAGAGGACAGATGCCCTCACATCTCCGATAGCATTGTCTTTTCCCCTTAGCCCATCAAACCAGATTGCCATGGTGGAAGGAATAATTGAAAACCATAGAAGGGAAGTTTTTCTTTCTGTGCTTTTTCCTTTTCTGCCTCTCTGTCCGTCCAGGCTCGCTTCTTTCCACCCTCCTTCCACTTCTCTTTGTTGCTGCTAAAAAGATTAAACTTGTTTGACCAGGTTCTGAGTCAGCACAGTTGTAAAGGGAAGATGAATGAGGCTCTTTAACCCTGCTTATTCCTCCAAATGCCCTCCTCGTGGAAAGAAACACACACATGTATGCTCCTAGAAACGTTGGTTTTAATGTTCCTTTTATTTTTAAGTCATTCTTTCCCCCAGTCTTATTTCTACTTCTGTCAGATAATGGTGCTGCTCTCTCTCCCGCTGCTCTCTGTGCTGAACCTTTCAGTGCTTTTCCCTGCTGAAAGGGCTCTCCCTTTCTTCTGGATCTTCTGCAGTAAGCCAGAACAGGATGCGTGATCCTGAAAGTGCAAAGAAGCTCTGTTCTCTTTTGTCCCCAAAACCTTTCCCCTCTCAGCCTGACTCTCACATCTCGATCCTTTTTTCCTCACTCCTAGGAGGAGGCTGCATTCAAACACCTTTTATCCTGGTAGTAAAAATCAGAAGCGTGGAGAGAAATCTGAGAGAGGATGGGGAGAGATGGGGCTGAGTCCTGGGGGAGAGATGGGTCGTGCCTGGCACCCAGGCACCAACACATCAAGGCAGCTAGCTCATCATCATCCCCTATGCTCACAGCCCTTGGGTGACAGCCCACTTCATGCCCACTAGAATGGATCCCAACCTCACCAAAGGGCAGCAAAGCTCCAGGAAATTTCTTAAGCTGAATGCTTGGGAAAGGCAACCATTTTCCAGTTTTCTGTTTGGGGGATAAACAGGAGTAAATGGTGCATCTGTAATCCCGGATTCCGCTTTACAAATGCCTTTTGGTGGTACTGTGTGTCATTCATGTAGGTGACTTTTACAATGAAAAATCCCATTTAAGCCTGACCTTTCACGTTCTGGAACATAATAGACTGTGCAGCCAAATTGCATCCTCCTAGCAGGGATACCAGTGAACTGGAATATTAGTTTTGTAAGGGGACATTTGAATTCTGCAAAATCATTTGTCAGAAGTTGGGTTTGTAACCATCAGTCCATTAAGGGCAGTGGGCAGGTGCAGCTCTGTAGTGCCATGGGCTAGGAGGGAAGTGGGGGAGCAGCTCTCTGGGGGAATTTGGGAACACAACTCCTGAAAGCCTGTTTTGCAGGGATGTCTACTTCTCTCCCTGGGAGAAGTGAGGAACAAAGTGCAAAGATGGCAGATGAGGTGGAAACAAAATCCTCACTTCTTCATGGCAAGCGCTGAGCAGTTGGGTGTTGTGTCTGGAATGAGTGGGGTGGAATGTCGTGGGATGGGGTGCTGTGCAATGGGGAGTCATGGGGTGCCGTGGAATGGAGTATCATGGGATGGGGTGGTATGGGATGGAGTGTAATGGGGAAGAGTGTCATGGGATGTCATGGGATGGAGTAGTATGGGATGGGGTGGCATGGGCTGGCATGAGCTGGGTTGGGCCATGAAGATATTTTAGTTCCCAGCACCCTCTTGCTGCTCTGCCCCTGCATGCAGTCAGATCCCAGCCCAGTAATCAATTACCACTGCCCTCATGCAGCAGGCTCTCTGTGCAGCTCAGCACTGCCTGCTGGGGCTGCTGCTCCCCATTCCCACTGCTTGCGAGGCCGCTGCGGCTGCCTCTTGAAGCATTTATGTTCATACACTATCAGGCAGCCACATCCCATGGCTTATCATTTTCATCAAGTCTTGGTTTTATGGTTGAAAGGAATTACTTTCAAAAGACCATTACCACCTCCCTGTTTCTCATGGCCTTATGCCTACCTGCTGTTAAGCTTTTATAAAGGCATAATTTTTTTGTGTAAAGCTCATAAAAGCTGCTACTCAAGTCCCATGCTCAAGTCCACTTCCCTCAGTCGCTGCCTCGGACTTGAGCGATCCCAGCTGGGGCTGTGGGGAATGCAGGCAGTACAGGGCAGGAGAGTGGCTGCTTCCTGCTGACCCCACAGCTCTGAGCTGGGTGTGCCATGGGCATGGGGCTGGTGCTATCCCTCAGTGCTGCTGTGCTGGGATGGATGCGATGTGGGCACTGCAAGAAGCTCCAGGCTGTGCATCTCTTTTTATTACATATGCGATTGGCCTCTATATTTCCTGATTATTTAATTTGACTTGGAATAAGAGGTATTTGTACTCATTTCCAGAGATGATGTACAGGCCTGATCTTAAACTGATTTAGACAGCATTGCACATCAAGAAAAATGAGAATGGAGGAATCTAACGGATGACATTTTTTTTTTAAATAGGGCACTTCGCCAACCTGCACAGAATTACAAGCAATAGGCAAATTCTGACACAAAAGTCTCTCTCAGATGACAAAGGGACACGAAGAATAGCACTGCTCAGCAGCACAATACCAGCTCCAGTAATACCATCACATGCTTCCTCTCCAGTAGTTTGTAGTAAGAGGGTTTGACAGATGTTCCTGTCAGACCTTCCTGTGGCAGCTGGCTGTGGTACCCACATTCCATGCCCTCCATGGGACAATCGTGGGCTCCTGGCTCCCTGGTGCCCCACATCTGGTTGCTTTCTGGCTTCATGTCTGCAAACATATTGCATTTGGGCTGGGACAAGAAAATCCCCACTCACTGTGCGATTGTGCAGCCTGAGTCACTGAGACTGAAGTAGCCCTGGCTGAGGCAGGTGGGTGGGAGCAGTGAGGAGCTGGGTGAGAAGTGCTGCTTTGCACGTGGGCAGGCAGCACGCTCTCTTTGAATGCAAAGATGGATGGAGATAGAGGGGCTGCTCCGTTACACCTGGTTGTTGGAGCAGCACGTGCTTAGTTCTTGGGAGGGCTGCAAAGCACCTCAGAGCAGAGGCTTCATGACAGTGTCCTGAAACCAAATTAAGGGGCTGGCCGTGGCTCTGCTTTGTCAGCTTTGAAAGCTCTCCCTGACAAAGCGGGAGAGGATTCAGCAGTGCCGTTGTGGGTTTGAGCAGTTGGGTTACAGTGGTATTCACTCTCGTTCCATCTGAAATGATTTGCCTAGCAGAGCTGCGAGCTGCTGGAACAGCTGCATGGGCAGAGGTGGCCGCGTGCCTGCTGGAGGGAGCATGAAGAGTTCTTATGTGGGGAAATCGCAGGATCAGTGCAAACCCTTCCATGGAAGTAAATACCCATTGGAAGAGGGCCATTTTTTGACCTTGGCTGTGTGTAGTTTTAATTATCAGAGCTGGCTGAATAACAAAAAACATTTTGCCACAAGCGCCGCATTTTTCTAGGAATTCATTTCAGCAGCGCTCACTCCTTTTGGGCTTCATGTTTATGAATGTGCAAATAAACTCACTCCAAAGCAGGTATTTCCACCTAAGCAGTCTGCTGAAGGTGCTGCGATTTTATTTCCACGCTCTTTGTGCTGCCTTTTTATTTAGGCACTACAGAATTCTTTTTCTCTGAAATAAACAACTGCAAGATCCCAGGGCGATGCGAGCTCTCGGTGAGTCCCGCAGGGTGCTATGGGGTCACCAGACCAGCCCAAGGTGCTGCTTACGCTGTGGGCTGGGTGTTCACCCTCCAAAAAACCAAGGGAGCAATGGCAGACCTGGAGCTTTGAGCCTCGAGAGGCGCTTGTTGCTGTTTAAATATGTAATAATGAAATGGAAGCGGCCCTTCGCCTGCTCATGGGAGTGTTCGATCTTCGGAGTGGCATGAAGTGATTTAGCCATTAAGGTTAATGCTCGTCTTCCTGCTGTCTGTTGAAACTCCGGGCTAGGCAATGCAAATAGCTTAGCCAGTACTTCTAAAGGTCATTGTGCATGAAAAAAATAAAGATCATACACCGCTCATGGAAATGTCCTTAGTAATCACCGCCTGCTCGGGGAAGGAGGGGAAGAAGAACTCCTGGAACATTTATCTCATCCCGCTGATAGTTTGGTGACAGCCCTTGAATTTGTGGCAGCTCGAGCTGTGAGTCGGCATCCCCTTTGCTATCTGTTGCTGCCACTGCGATTGATTTGCTAGGTGGTGGTGGTGCTGCCTGGCCTCCGGCTGCAGCTGGTGCTCCTCCTGCGCGGGGTG